CTGTCAATACTACCTAAAGCAATCTATAGATTTAATGTACTATCCATCAAAATTCCAACAGCCTTCTTTGCAGAAATGCCAGTTCTCAAATTTATATAGAACCAGACAGGGTTCCAAACAGCCAAAGCAATCTTGAAAAAGAAGAACAAAGTACGAGGACTCACACTACCTGATCTCAAAACATACAGCTAAAGTAACCAAAACAGTCTAGCAGTGGTATAATGATAGCCATATAGGCAATGGAATAGAATTGAGAGTCCAGAAATAAACCCACACATTTATAGTCAACTGATTTTCGACAAGGGTGCTATGTCCATTCAATGGGAAAGGACAGTCTCTTTAATAAATGGTGCCGGGACAAATGAATTTCCACATGCAAAAGAATGAAACTGGACTCATATCTCACACCATACATGAAAATCAACTCAAAATGGACCAAGGACCTAAATGTAAGAACTAAAACTCCTAGTAGAAAACATGAGTAAAGCTTCAGGACCTAGCTTTTAACAATGGATTCACAAATATGATGCCAAAAGCATGCGCAACAAAAGACAAAGTAGACAGACTGGATTTCACCAAAATTAAAAGCTTTTGCACATCAAAGGGCTTTATTAAGAAAGTGAAGAGACAACCTAGGAGATTAGGAGAAAAACTGGTGGAATCATAAATCGAATGAAGGTTTAATTTCTAAAACATATAAAGAACTCCTACAATTTAGCAACAAAAAGACAAACAGCCTAATCAAAAAACGGGCAAAGGATTTGAATAGACATTTCATCAAAAGATTACAAATCGTCAACAAGCAATGTCTAGAAAAAATAGAAAACAACAATGCTGTCAAAGATGTAGAAAAATTGGGACCCTTATCCATTGCTGATGGAATTGTAAAATGGTGTAGCCACTGTGAAAAGCAATCTGATGTTCCTCGGAAAGTCATACGTTGAACTACCCAGCCATTCCACTCCTAGGTATATACACAAAAGAACTGAAAGGAGGAAACACATACTTGTACATCAATTTTCACTGCACCACTATTCACAATACCCAAAGTGTGAAAACAATCTAACTGTCCATTAACAGACAGATGAATGGATAAACAAAATGTGGTACATACATACAATGGATTATTCAGTCATAAAAAGAAACGAAATCCTGATACATGCCACAAAATGGATGAACCTGAAAACATTATGCTAAGTGAAATAAAGTCAAAAACAAAAGGACAAATACTGTATAATTCCACTGATATGCAATATCTAGATTAGGTAAATGTATGGCAATAAAGTGGTTACCAGGTGTAGGAGGGAAGGAGAGTTATTGCTTAAGGGGCACTGAGATCTGATAAGGGTGATGGAAAAATCGGGAAATGAATAGTGGAGACAGGTGCACAACATGGTGAATGTAATTAATGTCACTGAATTGTCTGTGTAAAAAATGTTTAAATGGTAAATAGCTTTTTTACATATAATTTTACCATAATTTAAAAAAGTTACTACATGATAAATGTGGCATCACAAACCAGTGGAGAAGGGTACACTGTTTTTTTTTTCCCATACAAAAATTTATACGTACATTGTTATGTGACCCTAATTGCTCTCCCCATACTGTGACAGCACACTCCTCCTTTCCACCTCTGATTCCCCATGTCCATT